GTGTTGAGTGTGTTAATATGTGTCTCTTGAAATTGCTATTTAGTTTAAATATTGCTTCACAAGTGTCACATTAAAACGGAGGAATATTCGAGTGTGTCAAAACGTGATTTTTCAAATGGCCTTTTCGTTTAAATTTTGCTTTGCAAGTGTTACATTCAAAAGGATGAATATCGTTGTGTGTTGATATGTGATGAGATTTCAAATCGCCTTTTCGTTTAAATTTTGTTTTGCAAGTATCACATTCGAACGGACGAATATTCGAGTGAGTCAACACATGATTGTTCAAATAGCTTTTTCGTTTGAATTTTGCTTTGCAAGTGTCACATTCAAAAGGATGAATATCGGAGTGTGTTGATTTGTGACTCTTTAAATCGCATTTTCGTTTAAATTTTGCTTTGCAAGTGTTACATCCAAAAGGATACATATCCGAGTGTATAAATTTGTGCTTCTCCAAAACGTCTTTTCGTTTAAATTTTGCATTGCAAGTGTTACATTCAAAAGGATGAATATCCGAATGACGTGTTATAATGTGATTCTTCAAATTGTCTTTTCGTTTAAATTTTGCTTTGCAAGTGTCACATTCGAAAGGATAAATAGCTAAGTGTGTTGATAGGTGAGACTTCAAAGGGCTTTTTCGTTTAAATTTTGCTCCACAAAGGTTACATTGAAAAGGAAAAATATCCGAGTGTATTAAAATGTGATCCTTTAAGTTCCCTTTCCGTTTAAATTTTAATTTGCAAGTGTTACATTCAAAAGGATGAATACCCGAATGTATTATCATGTGAATCTTCAAATAGTCTTTTCGTTTAAATTTTGCTTTGCAAGTGTCACATTCGAAAGGATAAATATCTAAGTGTGTTGATAGGTGAGTCTTCAATGGGCCTTTTAGTTTAAATTTTGCTTTGCAAATGTCACATTCAAAAGGATAAATATCCGAGTGTTTTAATTTGTGATTCTCCAAACTGCCTTTCCTTTTAAATTTCGCTTCGCAAGTGTCACATTCAAAAAGACGAATATTCGAATGTGTCATTGAATGATATTTTAAACCTGTTTCGGTTTTGAATACAGCATTGCAAGAATAGCATTGGAACTTCCAAATAAGATCTGGTCCTGATGATTTTTTTTCTCCGTTTATCACATCACTTGGATCTATCAGTTCAATAGTTGAAACTTCTATTTCGTTTTTGATGTCATCCTTCAGATAATCATTTTCTATCATAAACCTAAAAAAAACATTTATTTAGATTTATAGTTAGATTAGTAATTTATTGGTGCAATATTTTTCTTTATTCATATAAATCTCTGAGTTGTTGGTTTATTTAAATTACCTAACCATCATCATAGCATAGATGTTCACTCACAAAAACTAGAAAATTTCAACAGAAATTGCATTACAGTATATGGTAGTAGGTATGTAACAGAAGATTTGCCGGGAAATTTCGAACAGAATGATATTTTAATTAATAATAATAATAATAATAATAATAGTCTTTATTGAGAAATGATATAGAAATTTACAATAAATCAGAAGAAAAATAATTAAACAGTTATCAAAGTCTCAAAAGGCGAAGTCTAGCTTAAAAGCTACTCAACATTAACCTAGTAGAAAATTGGTGTGATGGCGAAAGATATATGTTTTTTAGTTAATATGGAATTCACAAAAAAAAAAAAATATGGTTTAATATTCAGTGTCTTATGACAAACAGTAGGTACTTAAATTAAGAGAAGAGAATAAATAAATAAATAAGAAGTTTATTATATTATTTGTTGTTCAATGAAATATTGTTTTATATGCTGGCGAAATGTGACAACTGAACCAAGGGAAAAGTATCTATGGAATTCATTATAAAATGATACAGCATTATACGTAAAACCACGTGTAAAAGCATTGGAGCGATATCTGGGCATAGTAAGTGTGTTAGTCCTTATTGGTACATTGTGATGTTCATTACGAAATGTCAATTTGTCCCTTAAGTATGAGGGAGTAGATGTTTTCAGTAGCTTGTATGTAAGAACCAGAAAAAGATATGAGAATAAGTTTTTTACCTTCAGCCAGGATAATTCATTTATTTTCTGTGATACTCGATCGTATTTTCTAAGGTTCCAAACAAAACGACAACAGTTATTTTGAATTTTTTGTAGGCGATTGCAATCTAGACCCGTTAAACAAGGAGAGTAAACAACAAGACAATAGCTTAGTGTCGACATAATATAGGCTTCACATAGTTTTTTTCGTACTTTAAAGTTTAATATGTGCTTGTTTGAATACAAAGTTTTAAGCGCTATATACGATTTTTTACTGATGTTTGATATGTGTTGGCTGAACCTAAGTGACGTATCAAGAAGTACCCCTAAGTTTTTGGCAGTTGCAGTCATTTCTAACGTTTGTCCATCCAGTTCAAATAACAAGTGACTTTTCAAAAAATCTGAACAATTTGCTGGTGCAAAAAGTACAGTCTGTGTTTTGCCAGCATTCAGCCTCAAATTATGTTTGTTGCTATACTCAAGTATGCCTTGCAGATCTTCATTCACGTTGGCTGAAACTTCTCTGTAATACATGGGATCAAACACGTGTATTATTTGATTATCATCTGCATAGGCCTGAGATTCGCAAAATTTAAGAACCTTATGAAGATCAAACGTATACAATATATATAAAAGTGGACCTAATATGGATCCCTGGGGCACTCCTGAAGATACCTCGCCAGGTCTAGAGAGTCCTGACGAACATCTAACCTGCTGTTTTCTCTCAAATAAATAATTTTTAAAAAGAAGTAAGGGTATGTCTGTTAAGCCAAAATAGTGCAATTTTGCCCGAAGCAGATCATGGTCTACGCAATCGAAAGCGCGGGAAAAGTCTAACAAAATTAATACTGTTGCCATTCTATTATCTAAACCTTTAGCTATATTATCAATAACGTCCAATAACACTGTGGAAGTACCATGCCCAGGCCGAAAGCCTGATTGATTCCTTGGTAGCAAATCACACTCTGATACATACGAGTACAACTGTAAGTAGATTACTCGCTCCAATATTTTACTTAGCACAGGTAACAAACTTATTGGCCTCAAGTCGCTTAGAGATTTAGGTGAGTTAACCTTTGGTATGGGGCAAATTACTGCGGTTTTCCACGCTTCTGGAAAGTACCCTGTCTCGAGACAAGAATTTATTATGTGCGTAATATGATTTAACAGAAATGGAAGACTTTTCTTCACCATTAGCAAAGAAATATCATCAATTCCTGCAGCATTCGACCCAAAACCAAAGATTATTTTCCTCATCTCGTCCGGCGAAGGTAAACGAAATTCAAAACGGGCCAAGCTATGTCGGTTAGAATTAAAGTAACCCGTTAACTGTGCATCAGCCTTGGTGGTACTAAAAAGAGACAATAAATATTCATTTACATTATTACAGTCCTGCATGTTTATTGGTAGCTCAGGTTTAGGTTTGTTCATCACCTGAGCCACTTTTAGGCGTTTCCATAAGGCACCGGCATCCTGTGCACTTACATAATTCAGATAGGCAGCTTTCTCTCGTCTAAGAGACGTTAGGGCTATATTTCTAAGCTGTCTGTAGTTATTCCAGTTAAGTAAATTTTTTTGTTTTTTATATTTCAATAAAGCCTTGTCACGATCTTTAAAAATCTGTTTTAGTGTAGGAGTAAGCCAAGGAGCCGGCGCCTTCCCCAATCGAACTGTACAAACAGGAGCGTGAACGTCAAAAATACATTTCAGGTTTTTTGTTAAAAATCCAACTTTTTTATCAATGCTCTGAACGTAAAAAATATCATCCCAGTTAGTTCTGGACATATCCACAGCAAAATTTTGCTCATTAAAATACTTAAAACAACGATATGTGTACATTCTTTGCTTTGCGCTAGTTGTCGCAAGCGAGAGTTCACAGAAAGCTAAGTTATGATCAGAGATCAGGTCAGCATTTATGACGCCTTGTTTAGTGACATAGGATATGTCACTAATAAATATTGGATCTAAAAGATTTATAGCGGTTCTACAAACTCTCGTTGGCTCTGTTATAATCTGCGACATATTATATGAGTCAAAACACTCTGCAAGTGGGTTATAAGGATCCAACATATTGACATTCACGTCTCCCGTAACAATTACGCAATCTGATTCTAACATAATTTCGGACAAAATAGAATGATAACAGTCAATAGATTCCGCTATCGAACATACAGTATGCGAACGATAAGCAATGCATAATATTAATTTTACATTTTTTATTTCGAACTTAAATATTAAAGTCTCCAATGGATCACCACTACATGTATTCAGAACGTATTGATTCACCTTTATTTCATCACGTACATAGACGGCAATACCACCTCTTGCTCTCGTTATGCGATCATTTCTCACTAAACTAAATCCTTTTATATCGACAGCAGAAGAAGGTATCCAAGGTTTCAAACACGTTTCCGTCATACAGACAATATCGAATTTGTGATGCTCTATCAGTTCCCTAATATCATTGAAGTGTGCCATTAAAGAACTAACGTTGAAGTTAGCTATCTTCAAGTTTCTGTGAAAGGTAGCCATTTATAATGATTATGAAGACAAAAACAGATACCTATATTTAGTTGGTACAGTACAACGGTTTCTTAATGTTAGTTGTCCTGTAAGAGTTCATCCACATGCGCAATATCCTTTATCTTAATCGCTTTACTTTTATCCTCTTTTTTAACAAAAACAGAACCGTTTTTGCACCAAACATATTTATAGCCCTTATTACGAATTTTTTTAGCTTCCTTAAGCAATAAATACGTCTGCTTGTCCAATTCCTCATTGAGAAAAATCGTTTTTCCATTACCATCTATTTTACATACTGTTGTATCCACACTCTCTTTCTCTTTTCTTAACCTCAACAAGGTTTCAACAAGCTTTGTTTCTTTAAAAGAAATACCCACCAAGGGGTCTCTGTTCGCAGGTTTAATGATATGGAATTTTTCTACGCTCTGTTCTATTACGTCCTCCCCCTTTACAAATTTTAAAACTTTAAAAGTTTTTAATTTGATTTCATCATCGCTGTCATTGCGGTTATAGGGTCCATTTATCATAAGCTTTTTGCCATTTTGTTGTTGATCAATAACATGCAGTTTATTTTGCAAGAAAGTTACATCGGCCCTAAGCTTGCTATTCTCCTTTTTCACATCATCAATCATTTCTCCCAAGACCTTGGTTGTGTGTTTTTGGGATTCATACATAGCATTTATAAAATCAAGAGACTCTTTCATGGTGACAACCTCATCCTTAAGGCTCCTTACTTCACCCCTCAAATCCAAGAGTATTGATCGTAATGATGACACGTCTTCATTAGGCTCATCGTACTGAGAGTTCCGTTTACGCTGACTCGTACCAGCCTGTCCAGATTCGCCACAAGACATGGGGTGATTTTCACTTATTTGATACATTGTTTGTCGCCTGTTTTGCCCTGAGAACGAAAATTGGTTGCTAGCGCGGCTGTGCTGCGCCAGGGCTGTATCCAAAGATAGTGGAATCTGATCATCCTGTTGATTGAAAGATGTCCTCCTCAAAATATCATAGTTTGTACGAGACTGTTGTTGAGCTGGCTGGCACTTACTGCAGGTCCAGGGAAGTTTTTTCTCATACATCACGCGCACTTCAACTTCAGTCAAGTTTGCACAGCCTGGATGGTAATATCTTTTACAGACACCGCACTGTGATTTGAAAATAGACTTCGCAATGTTTGTGTTGCAAACTGCGCAAACATGACCTTTTTTCGTCATGCTTATCAATTGGCTAGAATAGTTTTCCTACCTTGAGAGACCTGTATTAATGATCGTGTGGTGCAGATCGTCTACTACCACCTACAGGCCCCAGGAATGCAAGGTCACACGTGCGATTAAGCAGAAAAATTTAATTGATACGCGTTAGATTGCACCGATAACACGTATATACAGTTAACACACTTCAAACTATATACTGGAACTAGTTTTGGTAATTAATTCGAGGTATAAATATCAAAAATCAACTTCAAAACAGATGATAAATAAACAACAGATGTTTACAGTTACGTTGCCCGCACCAAAAATCCATTGCTGTGATTTAAAAAAAGTTTTGGAGCGTACTATGAGGTAGACACCTTATTAGGCAATCTCATTACCTGTCAAACGAAATTCAATATGGAAGTTCAGAAGTTTATATTCTGAACAAACATCCAGATTTAAATTATAGGATTTTGTGTTTTTTTTGTATGTGTAGGTATTGTGTTAATTAAAATACCAGCGATTTGCATAGTAATTGGGTGTGGAAGTCGAGGTAACAGGGATTGCTGCAATTAAAAGAAAGAATCTAACAGAGAGAAATCTGAAAAACCAAACAGGTTGCAGCAAATATTTTATAACAGGTGGGTACCTAATTATTTTTTCCTACAATCACACATGAAAGTAACAAAAAATGCACTCTGGTTCTTTAGAAAATCCTAAATATCGCGCGTGCTGGAAGTACTTTCTGTACGCGTGTAATATTTAGGATTTTCTTCTTTCGAAGACAAACTTGTTTACATTGCTGGAAAGTGTCTAATAATTAATATCTTGTTTCAAGAAAACCTGCCTCCTTACTTAGAAAATAAGAACCATCCTGAATGAGTTCCTTCGCAAAATGTGGGGCATGATTCACATATTATCAAAAAATGAAAAGTAGATGTTCATAGAAAAGAGAGAGCTGATAAATGAAGATGTGAATTACAGGTAACTGAGCTGAGTTGTTTGATGTGACTTCTTCATATTTTCATTAAAGTTGTTTTTTTATTTATATGCAACACATAATAGGTTTTAATGCTTTTTGTGAAAATACTGTAGTATTTGTGGTTGTTCTCTCTATAGGAAAAAAGTCACAAGCTGTCAGCAGAAAGTATTTACACTTGTGTCATCTAAAATAGATCCACTTGAATTTCAAAATAATCAAATAATTCTCTGATTACAGAATCAGGCCGAAATAGCTGTAAGTGTTCAAGAAGACATTGTTAATCAATACACAGGCATCTCAACACAAACAGATATCACAATGAATGAACTGGCTATAAAATTTCAGCACCTAAGCTGACAGAACTTAAAAAGAAAACAAAAAATTCGCCTTATGGGATTATGGATGACATTACAAACGAAGAAAAATTGAAATATTAGACGGGTTTTTCATATAATTTTGTGAAATGTATCATTTATCCAATTGTAAAAGACTACATGCTATGCGCAAGTGTATCTGCTTTAAGTAGCTTTAATCAGTTGCTATGGATTCTGATTAAGCTAAGGTTGAATACTCATTTCAAAGATTCAGCATATCATTTTAAGATTCACTCGACAACCGTATCAAGATATTTTGATCATGTTATTGACATACTTTATAACAGACTAAAATCATTAGTGAAGAGGCCTTAGCATTGCTTTTTCCAAAATATAACGTCTTGCTTCAAAGAAGCTTTTCATTAAAAAAAAACTATAATTAATAGTTGGGGAGCTGGCGTCAAAAACATGCAAGAGTTTTCGCAAGGCGGATATTTTCAAAATAGGTCGTACTTTAGTGCTAGAATGCTAGTGTACAGTCAGCACTCACAGTTCCGGGACAGCTGGCTCTGGGACGCGGGCAAAGTTGTAATTTTAAGAAGCATCTAAACTGTTTTCTCAACGCTCAAAATTTATAGAAATTTTGCACATTATCTGTTTAAAGGTCACAGATAACGTATGTAAATCGTCAGACGTCTAGTTCGTTGCAAAAAGGGGGTCAGACGTCCTCAAAGTTTTTATTTTATGGCATTTTCTTCAAATATATTTGTCAAATACCTGCAAAAATATATTTTGACAGAACACCGAAGAAAATGCCATAAAATAAAAACTTTGAGGACGTCTGACCCCCTTTTTGCAACGAACTAGACGTCTGACGATTTACATACGTTATCTGTGACCTTCAAACAGATAATGTGCAAAATTTCTATAAATTTTGAGCTTTGAGAAAACAGTTTAGATGCTTCTTAAAATTACAACTTTGCCCGCGTCCCAGAGCCAGCTGTTCCGGAACTGTGAGTGCTGACTGTACACTAGCATTCTAGCACTAAAGTACGACCTATTTTGAAAATATCCGCCTTGCGAAAACTCTTGCATGTTTTTGGCGCCACCTCCTGGACTATAAAGATTGCTTTGGAGTATTCATTGAAAAACCTACTCCTCTGCTAGCACAACAGAGCTGGTCGAACTACAAATACCACAATATTGTCAAATTTTTAATAGGTATTACACTGCAAGGGACTATTTGTTATATGTACAGTGTGTCCACTCAAGTTCGCAGCATATGCAAAAAAAGTTATTCTTTATAAAAGTTTCTGCTTCTTGAAAAAATAGTATTTACGTATTAAAACTTGAATTAGGATATACAGGGTGATCATAAAATAGGAAAATATTCATAATTTTTTGGTAAAAGCAGTAAAAAAAATGCCACGTCACTTTTTTTTAAAACCTTTGATATTTTTTTCGGATTAAGCAAGTCATATTACAGTCAAAAGATACCTTTCCTTATTACAAACAGACCTGCCAAATTTGAAAAAAAAAATTGGAAAAGGGATTTTTGAGCTAAAAAAACGATATTTTTCTAAAACTTTGACACCCTGTATCTCAGAAACTACGCATTTCCGGACATATGTTTATGGAAACTTTTTCTCTTAAAATATTGTAAGGAATCACATATTGAACTTACGAACCGTACTTAGGAAACACCCTGTATAATTTTCTGTTTTTTGACCACCCTGTACATGCTATTTCAAGTTTTAGTAGTTTTTTATTATTTTTTCAAGAAGCAGAAACTTTTATGAAGAATAACTTTTTTTCGTAAAATTGATAATAAAAAAGTTTCCCATATGCTGCGAACTTAAGTGGACACACTGTATAATTATAAGTGATGCTTGGTGTGGGAGGGCCTCTGATAAATAAATTGTGAGGTTAAGTGGTTTTTACAATTTGATTGAGCCAGGAAATATTGTGTTAGCAGATCGGGGCTTTCTAATTGAAGATATTTTTGGAATTTTAAATCCAAAATTGGTAATACCTGCTGAATAATGATCATGTAAATCTTAATATTTTTAACAAAATTGTAACTGTTTGCTGTGCGTTAATTAACTTCAACTTGAAAGAATTGTGGAAATTGCAACATTATCAAAAAATACGCCCCTTAAATTTACAAAATCCGTACAGCGGATCCTAGCGGTTCCTACCATGAAAAAATAGAGAATAGTTTCAGATTTGTATTTTTGGTATTTTTTAACTTTTTGTCTTGGAAAGCTCAGCGCAATCTACAACACTATATTTTCACAATGTATATTATACAAAATCGCAGCCCGGTAGACCTAGAACTTTGTCGCAATGATAAAAAAGTCTTATTTTGGCGTCGGCTACAACATATTTAAATTTCAGGAAAATTAGGCAGCGTGCCAAATTATACTTAAATTGTGCCATGTCCATAAAGCGTTGCATATGTTGCATTGTTTAAATTTTCAATATCCGAATTTGTTATCATGTCAATCTTCAAATGGCCTTTTTCTTTTTGTTTAAGTTTTGCTTTGCTTTAAGTGTGTTGATATGTGTCTCTTGAAATTGCATTTTAGTTTAAATTTTGCTTTGCAAGTGTCACATTCAAAAGGATAAATATCGAAGTGTATTAATTTGTGATTCTTCAAAATGCCTTTTTGTTTAAATTTTGCTTTGCAAGTGTTACATTCAAAAGAATAAATATTTGAGTATGTTAATTTGTGATCCTTCAAATCGCTTTTCCGTTTAAATTTTGCTTGGCAAGTATTACATGCGAAAAGATCAATATCCGAGTTTATTAAATTGTGAATCTTCCACTCGCTCTTTCGTTCAAACTTTGGTTTGCAAGTACCACATGCGAAAGGATAATTATCCGAGTGTGTTATTATGTGAGACTTCAAATTGGATTTTCGTTTGAATTTTGCTTTGCAAGTGTTACATTTAAACGGATAAATATCCAAATGTATGAATGAATGTTTTTTTTTAAGGCTCTCTTGCTTTTGAGTTTAACGTCGCATACGTTACACCGAAAATCCTTGTTAGACACGTGTGTTATTTGGTTTCTCTCCAAATTATGTTTTCGTTTAAATTTCGCTTTGCAAGTGGCACATTCAAAAAGGGGAAAATCTGAATGTGTTATTAAATGACGTCTCAAATTTGATTTGATGTTAAATATAGCATTGCAAGTGTAACATTGGTACTTCCTAATAATATCTGATCCTGATGAATCTGCGACACTTGAATATTCCTCTATCTTCATCCCTTTATTTGGATCAAGTAATTCAATAGCTGATATTTCTATTTCGTTTTTGATGTCGTCTTCTAGATAATCATTATATAAACCTAAAAAAAAATGTATCAGATTCATAGCTAGAATTTAGAATTAAACTAGGTAGGTGGGAGTGGTGGGACTAAAAACTCCAAAAAATTATAATTTTATCCTCTTTTTTTCCGCTAGAATTTGGAACTGAAAAATATTTTTTGCCATACGCTCCCAAAAACAGCTATTTTACGGACTCGTTCAAGTCCGTAAAATGCTTCTTTTTAGGATTTTTTTTGCTTTCCGGATGCACCTTTATGATGTCAAAAATTAAGGAAACTTTGCAAATTTTAGCGTTCTGAAGCATTCTAAAAAACTTATGACCAAAAATAGTGTTTGTCACAGGTACTTGTGACAAAAATAACTATTAAATTTAAATTATTTCAGATACAAA